CTCACTCGACGGGACTTGGGCATATTTTCAAGTTTGACGAGGCCAAAATCCTTGCAAGAGGTGACAAGTGCGTGAGCCGCCAGCTGCTTGAGTCATGTTTCACAGGCCCACAGTCAGTCAACACGCGCAACGATTTGGCGTTCCCATACTGCGTACTTAGACATTGCCTGAGCAAGAGAATCAAGCACATGGGAAGGGCGGGGCCCAACAACCGCTCTGACGACAGCGAGCATAACGGTCGGACAATTACCAAGCCTGCCTCCGACACGGACAAGGAAATCGCGGAAATTAATAAGTCAAACGCGAAGTGTCAATACATCACCGCACCAATTAAGACCCCAAATGGTGGCTACAGTAGTGGATAATTATAGTACGCACGCGAATGACTGCTATGAACTATAAATACGGTGCAATCTGCGCACATTTTACCCCTATCTACGCATGACTCAGACTATCCTACCATCACCTATTATTGAGGATTCTCAACAGAATTCCATCAAGGCTGCATTTAGAAGCAGCTATTGCAGCCTGGCTCTCCGTCAGCCATCTGATATTAGGACTGAGTTCGAGTAGATGGCGTGAGCCCGCGTCTGGAAGTGTCACGACGCCCCCCTCCATTTTAAACATTTTTATGGTTGCACTGCCATTTAACGCCTCCTATATCCTAATTTTTACCTTTGCCGCACAACGTTTGCGTTGACCATTGTAGACACCAAAACTTTCCCATATTGACCTGATGTCAATGTCCACATTGGAAATTAAAAGATAGATGACATGGAGAATGAAGCAATGCGTTACAAAGAGTGTTTATATGGTTCTCGGGGAAAATGCGCGGTCGCACTGTTCGTTCAAATGCCGTTGCGTAACTGCGTCAGCGTGCTGAGGGTGTTAGAGTTGCGTTCAAAGTAGGCTGTAAGCGATTTCCATAAGCCACACAAACGTAGTGTGTATGACTTGTATCAGAGGGGTGGAGTAACGTTCGATTACCACTTAGATTCGGCCAAAGAAGACAGAGTGCCTGTATCAACGTCTTCTGGGGACAGCACTTGGAACTCCTGAATTCCCTCCCTTCCCCATTCCCAGATCCAACGCCCTCAACGCCCTCAACGCGCCAACTACATCAAACTGGCGGCGTGGGAACGAATAGTGTGCCCCGAAATACATGTAAACCCTCTTGCCAAAACTGACGACACGTCTTTGTTAGATCTAATTTCAGGGCGCCGCTTACAGGTAGAGGATCTATATCCTAAGGAGAACTGGTCAGTTAACTGTTCAGAACGCCCATTTAACCATTTGACACTACTAACTGAGCGCTTAAAAATGAGCAAGACTGTCAACAGCTGACTCAAAGTACACTTCATATAAATGGTTAGGCAGAAAATAGCTGACACTAGTGCCCTCAAATTTCAGATTGTCCCTGTGTGAGCCTTATTAATAATTGATAATCGGAGAACAATTGCGAGAAACTTTAAAAGGTCAAGAAACTAGTGGCAGCAGGGCGAATTCTTATAATTCTTTAAAGATAATTTCTCGATAAGCCGTTCATCACCGTTGTATGGAAGTTATTTTCGTGCTGATCGTCGTGTGACAAGAAATGTGGTTTCAGTCGGAGTCGCTGACGTGTTCGACGCAACGGATGTTTTAGATAAAACAGGGTGAGACAGCGGTTGGAATGTAAACTTCACTGTCCAAAATGGGGTGTATCTACTAAAATGTCTGGACTGAACGTAGCATTAAAAAAATGGCATGCCCGAACCTATCCTCATGTTGAACAGTATTGAGTGGTGTGGAATAAAAGGTAACCGTAACTACCCCGATGGTAATAAAAGTCTCTAGAGGCAACGTTTATTTATTACGGGAACCTGAACCGCAATCGTAGGCCCGGTAATTATGAGACAGTTCGGTGAGTGTATCGCAGGGGTTAAGTAAGCTAAACCCTGGCGACTGTAATCTTCAGGGCCAGTTCCTCGAGAGAGGAGAAGTCATGGGAGGCCAGAGTGGTAGGAGGAGTTTATTTTGTACAGAAGGGATGTGAGAATAATCAAAATGAAATTGATTACCAGATGACTGCACAACCGCAAGCCAGCAAACGGTGTCTGATGTGATGTCTGCTCAGCATTCGTCACATGAGGTCTCGTGTGAGTCGGCCTGTGATTGGTTGTTCCAGAGCCCGGAAACAGCAAGTGATCACAAATTGCACTTCGACTTGAGCTCGTCACGACAAGCGTTCACAAACGCACTTCGTGCGGAGTTAGTCACTACAAGTGTTTTGACAATGTTGGATCATTTCTAAGAGAGAGTGAGACGCTTGTATCTACCAGACCGCAGTGCACTCTGTAATCAGGCTTTGCGTCCTCATGCGCGCAGACTGCACCGCGGCAGGCGTTGTTAGTTGTGACTATGCGCGCGCAAGCGCCCGTGCCGCTGTGGATCGAGTGAACGGCCGGAGTGTTTAGATCAGTGTGTCTGCGATTCCACCACCTTGCTTGTCCAGAGGAGTGTTGGTGCTAAAGTGACTGACAATGATGAGGCTGGGCCTTGATGTAAGCATTAGGTGTGATGCCCTGATGACAGTCGTTTATGTTGTTAGTCACTGAGG